GAAAACAATAGAGGGAGAGAGAGAAAGACATAGAAAACAATAGAGGGAGAGAGAGAAAGACACATAGAAAACAATAGAGGGAGAGAGAGCGCGTGAGAGATAGAAAGGCGGACGGTGAGTAGAGGTGTAGGGAGTGTATTCTATGTGTGCAGAAGGATCACTGCAGTGTAAAGGGTGGCAGTGTAAATGTAGAAATACTTAATGTGAGCATTATCTGTGGACACTATACTGTCATGTACCTAAACAAACATGATTCCTGAGCTTCCTGCATGGCTGATTCAGCCAAGTACACCAATTAACCTCGCGCCTCCACTGGATAGAAGTTTAAACATAGCCTGATTAAGTGTGCATGCTTTTCCAAGGGTAAATGTAATTGCTAGTCATGTTCTGGAGACAACTTCATTGCACACTGCCTATAATGTTCCTCTTCCAATTTCCTTCTCACTCTCTGCATTTTACATGTAGGTACAGAAATGATGAAGGTTATAATTTCTATTTCATTGTATCAAGAATGGAGAGTCAAAGGCTGTCGTTATGCCAAACTGAACAATTATAATCAATATTGACCATCAGTTGGCGCGTGTATGTGTGTGTGTGTAGAGAGAGAGAGAGAGCACTGAAGAACAAGTCACAGAACATTGCCTGGGTTTCTCTCATCAATCAGCTTCCCTCTATCTCTTTCTATACCTCTATCACCTAATCTATCAACCACGGACCATCCGGGACTGTCTGTCACTATCTCCCCCTTCCTCTCTGTAGAGTGTCATTCTCTCTCTCTCTCCTCTCCTCTCTCTCTCTCCTCTCTCTCTCTCTCTCTCTTCTCTCTCTCTCTATCTCTCTCTCTCTCTCTCTCTCTCTCTCTCTCTCTCTCTCTCTCTCCTCTTCTCTCTCTCGCTCTCTCTCTCCATTGTGACTCATCCTGCCTGCCTCGTATCCTTCAGTTAATGATGATGACACGTGTAACTTCCTCAATGGAGCGACTCAGCTGATTGCACATAACTCCCTCTTTGACAAGGGAATCTGTTGCTGCCTCAAGTCACTGCACCTGGAGAGACTTTAGGGTTGAGCAGTATGGGTCTGGGGTTGTATTCTGAATGTGTAACATTATGAAACGTAATAAATATTTATCTGACCTGTTTTACAACTTCTATGTATGTCAAGGGACACGAATTTAGAACTGTTTGGAAATAAGAAATATCAATAACAGAATATACACATAGAATGACACTCTCAACTGATATTCAGAACATCGTTTACACTTTAGAGCACTCAGTTCAGGTTTAAATTATTCTGAATAAACCCCAGAGGAAGTGCAGATGGAGTCAGGCTGTGAGGGGAACATTGCTCCTCATAGGGTCTTTCAACCTCTCTGCATGGAGTCTTTGGTTCTTTATATTAATTTACCCAGGTTTAGAAATTGCAGATGCAATTCTCAAAGGTCTTAAAGCTTCTGCAATCACTGTGAGTCAAAGTTTTTTTTGCAAAGATTTCAATAAAAATCTAAATTTGTAGTAAATGAGGTGAGCCTAAGAGAGCCAATGGTACTGTCATTGGAATACCTTAAAATGTTCACAGCTGTGATATTGGAATGTCACCTAGAAGAAACAGGAATGACAACCTCGTAATCAGTGATGCACTCACTGAGAAGCGCTTACCTTGCATTAACACAGGTACTTTGCCTCCCTGAATGAGACAGTGATCGCGCCGGTGGAAATATTTGATATAGGTCGCCATCTTGTGGCCTTCTACTGTCACTGCATAGTCAATGGACGTAATCAATAAGGCCTAGTCCTGGCTATTACAATCTGTAGGGTCTTTGCTATTACTGTCACATGCTAGCTAGCACATATTACATATATTCTACATTTTCTCCCAACATTTTTATGAACATTTACCACTTGTGGAACCGTTAGGCTAAGAACATGAAATACAGTGGTTCAATGTTCAGTAACTTGCATGTCTGCTAGTTTTTAGACATTACTGGGAGTAATTAACAACATTGTACTGAGGTAATAAGGACATTTTAAACAACTTTTATATTCACAGAGGTTAGAGAGTTATCAGCTCAGATGTTGCAGCTCTGCATTGACTAATGAAAAAAATAATTTACATGTAATGCGTATCTCTCACCAGCAGGAAGCAGTAACCCTCATATTATGTTCTTCTCATGCATTTAGAGGTTGTTGTAAGGAAGAAGTGCATCATCTGTCCAATAGAGAGAAAAAAAATATGACATTGATTAAAAAGTATAAGACATTCCTATTGGCTATGATCAACACCCTGGGCCATGTTTGAGCAACAATCAGCATTGTGATTGGTCAAAGGATGAAATCAATGACAGTAAAACAGAATGTGTCCTGCCCTCATAAAAGGCAAGAGCTAACACTCAGCATCCTTTTTATTGCAATATCCATTTATTGTTCTCATCAGACAAATCTTTACAAAACAGAGGGTACGGTGTAACAAGATGAAATGAAGTGTTAAAACTCAGAACACCTCCAAAGAACACCTTTTTTTCCTTTTTTTTTTTTTTACATGTTACTTCATTGTTCATCGTCTTATTTAAAAAAATCTTTTGGCCAATAAAATAGAACTAAATCAAACTACAGATGTATTGTCTGTGTTCCAAGGAATACACATTCGGACCCAAACATAATCAAGCCATCTGTGTAGTTTTTTGTAGCTCCCGTTAGTTTTGGCCTAGCAGTTAAGAGCGTTGTGCCAGTAGCCGAAAGGTCGCTGGTTTGAATCCCCGAGACGACGAGGTGAAAAATCTGTCGATGTGCCCTAGAGCAAGACACTTAACCTTAATTGGTCCTGTAAGTCGCTCTGGATAAGAGCATCTGCTAAATGACTTAAATGTAAAAGCAACAGACCCCCTCAATACTGTGACAGACCCCCTCAATACTGTGATAGTATACAGTGCACTTCCTCTTAGTTTACTGACTGTGGTGTATACAGTATGGGCTGGCAGGTGAACTATTACAAGAGAAACTAAACCATGGGGGGATTCTAATGTTAGCATAACACCACGGGCCATCTTCTGTTGACTCCAACCTTGGTCCGGGAGGGCAGCTGGTTTGATGCAGAATGGCTGCCAGTTTGGGATGAGGACAGGTCCGATTTAGAGTGGACAAGGACCTTTACATACACTCTTGTCTTTAGTAATACAGTTGATACGACGAATGTTCCCATTTCTCCATAACAACTTAATGTAAGGAGTGCAGTGGGGTGTCTGTGTAAAAATCACGTTCTCATTACAAAAAATAACTATTTACAAAACCATACAAACAGGTTTAAGTGTAAGAAAGTGGAAAAGATGGGAGGTATAGGCTAGAGATTAGGAGAGGTAAGTGAGTGTGTATGTGTGTGTTTGTTTGGTTGGGTGAGTATGTGTATGTTGTATGCACGTCCAAAAGTGTGTGTATTTTGGTAAGTTTGTCAGTATTAAATGTGTGTTTTCGTATGAGCGTTTTCATGTGTGAGTATGTGTGTTGTCCAACAGAGGGAAACATTACACAGCCCAGTGACGGTATAGTCAGGATACAACACAAAGAAGACAACCAAACAGCAGTAGAAAAATATATGCCAGTGGGAGAGAGTGGAGAGTGGAGGGTGAGATATGAGAGGGCTGTGCAAATCAAAATCAGCAAAACTGTTTTCTGTGGCAACCACACCATATATACACATATCAAATAAATACATCTATGAATAATCTCCTCATAAATAAATCACATAATCACATGAATAGGCAAAGTCCATTGTAAATAATATCTCTCTACAGCACAGAGACAGGGAATCTTGGTTTTCCAGTGTGGTGTTCCGTTCCATGCCGATGTGATCTGTTCCATTCCAGACAAAAGTGATGTGGGAGTAAACAAATGTTTTGGCGACATCACAATGACAAAGCTTTGGTAACCAAGGTTCCCTGTCCAGATACATTGAGTGCAAAATAAAATATTTTGTACTGTACAAAGCTCATGTCCTGTCACTTGTGATGTATTTCAAAATGCGTCTCATCCGGTCTTACCAAATCTGTATCTATTTCATGCTGACTTGCTGCAGCTGCAACCAGTCGAAAGCGGAGAAAAATAAACTGTCTGCACTTTCATCCTGTTTGTTGTTGTCTTGTCTTCTTCTTCTCAGCGATATGAACAGAATCCTTTGATCTGGGTAATGTCATGCAGAGCTGGAGAGAGGTCTGCCAGAGAGCTAATGCTGTGTATGTAGACCTACCAGGATCCTGATCTGTGTGTGTTGTCTCTATGCTGTATTTTGAAGGTACAGTAGTTAAGTACCAAAGTTGCTACAGAAAGTGATTGGTCCGTAAACATTTGTTCACTTGAGTTTGTTGACTGGTGCAGTTATTTGATGATTGGCTCATTCTAGGATACTGAAAATGAGCCCTACAGCCAGCAGAGAGTGTTCATTGAGCGGTTGTTTAGATTCATCTTAAAAGTGCACAGAGACACAAATGACTGAAGTGTTTCAGGATGACTGGCTGCATTGCCTGGGAGGACATCTTCAACAGACAGTTGAAAACACAAAAGAACACAGTTCTCAAATGAATACAGCTTGATGGATTCTGACAGTTTCGCCTTACAAGCACGTAGAAGATGAAACATCACCTTGTGATATCAGTGAAATGTGTACTTCACACAATGAAGCACATTAAAAAAAGAAGCCTCTGGAAACAACAAAATGAAAGAGGCATTCCTGTACCTGACACTGTACTGAATGTTCAGCTGGATAGCTGTTAAGTCTTTGTGAGTCTCACTTTGAGAGCTCACCTCTCGGTTCCCCAGGGGTTTGGGCTTGGACAAGGTTAGGGGGAGGTTTGTAGAGGTCTGAGTATGCTGCGTGTGTTGTGTTTGTGTGCGTGTGTGTTTTGAAAGTCTAGACCTGTGTAGAGTAGGATCTGTAGAGGGTGGAGTAGTGGCCTGCCGGGTGGGCGGCGCAGTGGTGTTCGTGTGAGTGTTCATGTTCGTGTGGCTGGTCTAGACTTCGCTGGAAATGGAGCGAGACGGAATGAGGACATCTGGGGTGGCGGGGAACCGATACGGCTGATGGTCATGTGATCTCTGTGAAAGGAGATCCCCTCGGAGTCTGCAGGGGAGAGAGAGGAGTGAAAAAGAGAGAGGGAGGGACAGAAGAGAAGAGAGGGAGGAAGAAGGAGAGAGAGAGGGAATGAAAGAGACAGAGAGAGAAAGATGGGGTGGAACGAGAGATGAAAAAAAGAAAAATGAGTGAGGAGCAAGGAGCGAGAGAAAACGATCAAAAGTTGGTCAGAATGGGTGGTGAACGTAGGGATTGTAGGGAGGGCAGGAGGAGAGTGCAGGATGCTGGTGACACAGATAGAAGGATAGAGATCAAGTGAGGGATAAGGGAAAAGAGCGAGGTGGGAGACAGGGGAGGGAGGAGGTCAGGTGAGGGTTAGTGTAGGTGACAGACAAGAGGAGACACAAGCCATCTCAAAGCTGCTCCCTTGAATCACACTTTCAACAGGTTGTCCTTCCCTAGTGCCCTCTGCTCTCCCTTATCTAAAGAGCTCACAGTGCATTTCTCATTCACTTCAAAGAGCTAAGAGGCCTTCAAAGCTTAAACCACTGAGGGATGGTGAATGAATACTGAGGAATAGACTACTGCAACCGGCTCTCTCTAAACTCTAAGAAGTCCACACATTTTCTGAGTAAAGGATTACTGGCTCAAAGACGAGGTTTGGATGTACTTGTGCTTTGGTCGGGGTTGAGGGTTAGGGGGTGGTGCTGGGGCTGGGGCATGCGCTGTGAGGGGACATCTACTTTTGGGATCGGGGGGACGACAGAAGGGGGAGAGAAGGGGTGCATGTCTGCCCCCCCTGTGTGTGCAGCCCTGCCGCTCACCCACCCCCACCCCTTACCTGAGTTCCACTTAACTTTTCGAGTGGACTCTCCACACAGGGCAGAGCCACCATGGGCATGCCTAGCACTGACTCAGGGCGCTGGGGCCGCGGGGGAGGGGGAGGGGGCCTCGTCTGCTGGAAGTTGTTGATCACACACGTCACCTGGAGAGAGAGAAGTGAGAGTGAGAAAGAGAGAGAAAGGGAAAGAGACGGGGAAGAACTGGGTGTATAAGAAAATAAAAGGCAATGACAGTACTGACACTACCAAAAGTATTGGGACAGTGACATTTTTTGTTGTTTTGGCTCTGTACTCCAGAACTTTGGATGTGAAATGATACAATGACTATGAGGGTAAGGTGCAGACTGTCAGCTTTTATTTGAGGGTATTTTCATCAATATCGGCTGAACCATTTAGAAATTACAGCACTTTATGTATATAGACCCCCCATTTTAGGGGACCAGAAGTATTGGGACAAATTCATTTATCAAATCAAATCAAATTGTATTGGTCACATGTGCCGAATACAACAGGTGTAGACTTTACAGTGAAATGCTTACTTACGAGCCCATTCCCAACAGTGCAGAGTTAAAAAGTAAGACAAATATTTGCTAAAATAAAATACCAAAAAAAGGAAATAAACAAAAATAATAACGAGGCTTTATACAAGGAGTACCAGTACTGAGTCAATGTGCAGGGTACCAGGTAGTTGAGGTAATTGATGTAATACAGTATGTACATGTAGGTAGGAGTAAAAGTGACTAGGCAATCAGGATATATAATAAACAGAGTAGCAGCAGCATATGTAAAGTGTGTCTATGTGTGAGTGTGTGGCGTCAATATGCATGTGTGTGTGTGCGTGTTGGAGTGTCAGTGTAGTATGTGTGTGGGTATAGTCCAGTGAGTAGCATTTTGGGGGGTGGGGGGGGGGGGGGGGGATTTGAAATGTATGTGTCTAAATTTCTCACTCCTCATTATTCACGATTCATTCAGGATTATACTTTTGGAGCTCACTGTAAGTGAAATGGGTGTAACATTTCTCATCCCATGGTGAGAAAATCCAGTGCGTCATCAATATACATCACTGTTACATTCTCTCACCCTCATCTCATCTCCCAGAATAATGACTTCCCTAACCACCCTCTTCTCCCTCACCATTCCCTCAGCAGCTCCCTCCATCCATCCTTCCCTCCCCTCCCCTCCCTCCCTCTCACTAGAAACACAGCGATGGCTCCTCCAGTGAAGAAGCCGGCCAGGACATCGGCCCAGTGGTTGCGGTACTCTGCCACCTTGACCACTCCCACCAGCATGGCCAGGCATAGCAGGGTCAGGCTGACCGTAGGCTTGGTCAGCCGAGTGCCTTTGGTCCGGAACACTAGCGTCACATACATCTGGGACAGACAGAGATAGGGGAGGAGACCAGGAGGACTGTCAGGCATTGTAATACTATAGGCTGGGTATCAACTCTATACTATAGGGTGGTATACCATAACATGTGTATCAAACCGTCCGAACTCCTACTCCCCAAACCAGAACCTACCACAGTGTAGACTGCAGAGTAGACACTGAGGGCTGCGTCCTTGGAGGGGAAGGATTTGCGTGCGGACGCCACTACCAGGGGGTTGCCAGTGCAGGCGCGGGGCTGGGTGATGTACTGCATGTTGGATGTGCACCCCAGGGCCGTGTAGTTAGGCCGGCAGGCAGATAGGAAGTGAGGCGTCTGGTTTCCTGTCACCACCTGACCCGCGTTGGCAAAGATGGTGGTGGTGAACAGGCCGAAGGAGAACACTCCTGAGGGAGAGAGAGAAAGAGAGAAAGAGCGAGAGAGAGCAATGACAGCCAACTAAAAGAGGAGGTGTTTAGTTATCCCCAGCCTACCTGGGAGCCGCTGTTATCAGCTGAGGTGTGAAATTGCAAAAGCCTTCATGATCACTTGAAGTGATGAACATGCTAATCGGTCTGAAATTCTTCACACCAGTTTTAGCCTTCATCATCACAAACCACTGAGGCATGTCTCTTCCTGTTTCATTGTTGTGTTACTTGCATTCTCGTGTTTCTTCAAATGTAGTTTACGAAAGTTCAATCAGGAAGGCTGGTCTGAATGCTCGTTTAACTTAATCAAGCCGCATATCATAATTCACTCTGTTTCCTATTATACGGGCATAGTGGGAATGAATACAAACGTTTCATCATCAGCATAGCGTCTAGTTCTTCTCCTCTATCCTATTAGCCATGTGCAGAATGTCATTCACCTATTTACTTTAGCCTATAAGCACGGCACAATAATGCACATTCTGCACATTTGCTGTTTAACCTATCACTTTCCTCTCTTTCAACCAATTGGTGTAAATCTTGGGATCTATTTACATGTCATCTTACCCATGTTCTCTCACTTGCTGTTTTTCAGCAGCAGTTTCAGCAGCAGTTTTTGACAACCATCCACCTCCCCACCACCAGCAGCTACAATAACCTTAAGGCCTGTCATTGGAACTCCATTCCGCTAGCGGGGGGGTTCGATGCCAGCTGCCCAGCAAAGGGTTACCTGTCATCAGCATCTGGCTCCGAGGAGCAGTCCTTGGAGACGAGGCCATAACCCAAATTATTTAATAAAATTCCATATTGCATTCGGTCTCTGTTGTTCATTCAGTTATGCCTGTACTCAAACTTATATCGTACTTCTTGTGTGTTTTTTTTCTCCATTTTCTATTATTATCTATGTTATTGTTATTATCACTGCATTGTTGGGAAAGAGCTCTCACTGTACTGTTCTATACCGGTTATATCCTGTGCACAGTGGCAAATACAATCAACATTGTCAAGACTTCCTCCGAAGCTGCCTCCTCTCCTTGTTCAGGCAGGCTTCGGTGTTTGTCGTCACCGGCCTTCTAGCCACTGCCGCTCCTCATCATTCCATTTGTTTTATCTTGTTTATTACACACACCTGGTTCATATCCCCTCATCAGTACCTGTATAAGTGTTCCCTCTGCCCCCTTGTCTTTGTGTGTGATTGTTTTATTGTGGAGAGTAGTGAAGCTCGGTGGAGCTCCTTGTATTTTGTATCGCCGGGATATTTTCCTGTGTGCCTCGTATTTTCCAGTGGAGTGTTTTGACGCGTTCCTGCCTAACTCTGTGGGTGCGGAATAAAGCCTGTTATTCTGTGATTTACCCTCCTGCCCCTGACTCCTTCAACATCACCTCATCACAAACATCTACATTTTCCTCTAAAAGACATCAAATTCAGGTACCCTTTTGTAGATATTTCCAATTCCAGGTGTGTTTATATAATCTTGTTAGATACACTAATCATTCAAGACTAGTTCAGGCAGGGCTGTGTGGTGTTGGTCTAGACTCTAGAGGCTGTAGTGGTTACCTAGGAAGCGGACGATGCGTCGCAGTAGGGGGTTGAAGTAGCAGCAGTCTGCTGTCACTATGGTCTTCTCTTGCGTCCCCTCAGCCTTCAGAAAGAATGCCACCAGCTCCCCTACCAGGATCTGTAGAGAGAGAGACATACAGAGAGAGACAGAGAGAGAGACAGAGAGAGAGAGACAGAGAGAGACAGAGAGACAGAGAGACAGAGTGAGAGACAGAGAGAGTTTTGAAACTTCTGAGTGTAATGTTTACTGTTAATATTTATTGTTTATTTCACTTTTGTTTACTATCTACTTCACTTGCTTTGGCAATGTTAACACACGTTTCTCATGCCAATAAAGCCCTTAAATTGAAATTGAAATTGAGAGAGCGAGAGAGAGAGAGAGAGAGAGAGAGAGAGAGAGAGAGAGAGAGAGAGAGAGAGAGAGAGAGAGAGAGAGGGAGGCAGAGAGAGATCCAGTTAGCTTTATTGAGGGCCCCGAACTGAGCGAGAGAGTGCATGTCTTGAAAACGACAAGGTATTTTATTTCATTTAGGCTATGCACAAGTTCTCGGAAAACCACTTGCGCACACAGACCTCAACTCTCTCACACAACACGCAGCCTAATGTCAGCGCGTGGCTAGAGATCTCCATGTTCACACCCACACAGTTTCATTTGAAACCCTCATCATCTACTTGTCAACATCACATTCGCAGGTGTCCAGCCATTCATTTGTGTTACAAAAAATCCCCACCATTGGAGTGAGGAACGAGCCAGGCTTGTGACAGACACAGAAACCAGATAACTGTAGCTACATTTCACACCCACTGAGTGCATGTGCTGTCATGATTGCTTTATTGAGGGCCCTGAACTGTGAAACTCATCACTCTTTTATGCATGGTGCTCAGACTATTTCCTATTTCCCAAATGACTTGCCTCAAAACATTTGCTTGTCCTTCTGTATTAGAAAACCATGTGTTTATTATTCCAACAGCAAGGACTTAAGCTAATAGCCACCCAAACACTAAAGCATAACTGAATCCAACTTATGTTCTCATGAAATATAAATGTAAAATGCACTGGGGATCCATCCAAACAGTGCAAAGGACACAATACAGAGGAATAGCAGGGAATAACATATTACCTTCCCTTATTTATAGAAATGAGAGAGAAAGAAAAGTTTCAGGTCTAAGAAGAATTAAGACTGGACAGTTTGAATGAGCTAACAGCCTCTGGAGCAGATACTCTGTGTTCCTATGTGCGTGCCCAATAGCACTCCCCCTCCATTAGGGAAACATACGTCATAGGGACTAATGGTTCCATAGCAACACTAAACTAATTCTAATATGAACCATGACATCAAATTGGAAGGAGATGATCAACATAAACTAGAGGTTGCCAAGGGCACCGTCATACTAGAGGCTGACTGACAAACATATGTCCACACAGTAAATCTGTTAGCATGTGTTGGGGAAGTGAGGTATTGGGCTTCATCCCATCCCACTCCTACATGGATCAGTACTCTGAAACACTGAGTCTCAGTCCTGCTAAAAAGCTGTTCAGCAGTGGGTGGTGATCCTGTTCGGAAGCATATCACATAGTCAATACTGTACAACCATCCCTCTTCATGCAATTCACCACTGTTAATAGCTACTTGCCTCCAGAATTGGAGCGTATGAATACACTTTGGAGATACAATCAGTACAGAGAGGGAGATAGAAGCGCGTGTTGAGATGGAGAAGGAGAGCGTGAAGGGAGAGGGATACAGAAAGAGAGGGAAGAGGGAAAGAGAGAGAGCAAACTGTAACAATGAATTATTCACAGATGCGCCTGGACCCTGTCTGCATGGTGAATCATGTTGCACATTATTTCAACTGACGTCTTTTAAATTATCCCCCTCCATCACGCTAGAGCTTGCTCTGCTACGTGGCTCTAGTCTTACTGCTCTCGTAAGGAGTCAAGGTAACATGGCTGCAGGTTTTTGTGTTGTAGATAGGAAATTGGCTGTTGTACCTAACTTCCTTGACATTAAACACAATCATGTAACATTTCTGGTTCTATACAGCACAAGTTGACTGATATGAAGCAGAAGGGTACTCTACAGTAAGTGTCCTGTTCCCAGTGCTATTAGACCCACACCACCACACCTCTGGGGAGGAAAGGAGAGAGAGAGTGGAAAACACAGAGGGGGGGTTGGGTCAATTCCATTTAAATTCAGGAAACTTTCCCTAATTGAAAAGGATAATTGGAATTAGAATTTCAGTATACTTCCTGAATTGACTGGAATAAAAAAATGTTTTACCCCAACCCTGGCAGACAGGCAGTAGCCCCTCAACAGACTAAGAATAGTATCTGACCAATCACGTGCCTGGGCCGTGACATCAGTCCAATCTGCGTTGCGTGGAGACAGAGAGCAGAAAGGAGAAGAGAAAAGAGAATGTCCTGCACTTCACCCTCGTCTGCCGCTGAATCAGAGAGCGGCTCTGACAACTGGGATGAACTGGACCCTGACCCTGTTGGGGTGTGTGTTGTTGTGTGTGTGTGTGTGTGTGTGTGTGTGTGTGTGTGTGTGTGTGTATGTGTGTGTATGTGTGTGCAAACATTCCTGTCAGTGAGAGCAAGTTGGAGGAGTCAGTTTGTGATCGTGTGTAAGCAACTGGATAAATATCTTAGAATCAGTTCTAATCACGTGGGAAAGAGGGGTAAGGAGATAGGAAGACAGGGAGAAGAGGCAGGGAGATAACAGCCCTAGATAATCATCTGAGGCTAATTCCAAGAAGCCTGTTAGAACCCCAGATAAACTCAGATAGGTCTTATTAACACACACTTGTAAAAACACACACACACACACACACACACACACACACACACACACTGGGCTACGGATGCTCAGCGAACCGACACACACCGCTCTGGTCCAACAGCTGACTCTGTTAAGATGAGTGTCTGGGGAAATGGAAGGCTGATGATTCCAATCCCATAAACAGATGCATTATGGTCCATGGTATACCACCTCTACTGCTATTGTGTTTGTTTTGCTCCCATCCCTTACTGTTGTATAGATAATGATGAAACATCATCATCATTATCCAAAACATCCCATCTTATTAGTCCCAGTGATGTCCATAGGACATGATGGGATAATTTAGCCATGTGTAAAGTCATGGAAGCTGGACCTGTCACCAGCATCCCATTATCTGTCATCACCTACAGTGGAATCTGACCTGAATCACTTCAACATACTCTAAGCTAATGGATCTAGATAGGTCTACCATGTAGGGTAAACGTCACAGTGGATTGAGTTTATTATCCTCTGGTGGTGATAGAATAAGCTACAGCCTACAACACTATGAATGGTACATAAAGGAAGTCTTAAGGGCCTTGGCGACTTGGAGTTAGTGCCCATTTAGTACATACAGTATTGGCTGGGATTGTATAGTGTAGTATTTCTGTTGCTCTCATCCAGTATCATGTTAATATGAAGAGGATCCATGTATATACCACATCTCCACAGAGGGTTTGAACAGCTGGCCAGGCTGGGGTTTGTTAAAACCATTTGTTCAACATGAACCGTTACAAGAGAGAACAAGCACTATCGCGGTTGAATCAAATCTGTAAACGCGCGCACGCACACACACACGCTAATTAACTAATGTATGAATGCACTTCATGGACATTGATAGCTCTATGATTTGAAGATAAAATAACTGTTTTGAATGCACTTATTTCGTTGTAAACAACTGAACATTTGCTGCTTCTATGGTTAACATGGTGTATCATTCTGGTTGTTTTCGGTTTACTATGCTTAATCTTGTGTTATATCACTCCTGTATTACCCCCTCCTTACTCCCTCATGTCTTTTCTATGTCAATCAGCCTTTGTAGATTTTTCTCCCAGACCCCAACAGGGAAAGTAGGTTAGGATTTCTCTCTTTGTCCTTCCCCTCCATTCTTGTCCTCTTTCATTTCATGCTCTCTTTTCCCAAAATCTCTTTCTGTTAAATCCCTCTAAATTCCCTGTTGGCAGCCAAACAGCTAAGCCACAGCTGCAGGTGAGGAACAGAGCCTGTCTTTAGTGTGAAAAGCACAGAGGCAGGAAGAGAGGAGTGAAATGAAGAGGGAGGAACCGAGAGAGAAGGAGAGCAGAAGCTGAAGAGAGTGAGAATAACTGAGATCAAGAGTGAGTAAAATAACAGAATTGGATGATGCTGGTCACTGGTCTCTGGGGTGTTGAGTGAAGCATGTCCCTCTTTGAGGACCATTGAGGTGCCTCTGCTTTCTGCCTGAGCGTAAAGGGATCAGTCATCCGTGCTGTGGAGCTGTGACTGACGAGTTCACACTAATCACATTACACAAGCGGGTGTATGTCTTCAGCTGTCACATACAGTACAACTAGATACTGGAACATAATCTAAATATATTATATGCATATGTACATTATACACACATACAGTATTACTTTACATGCAGGTATAAGTCGCTCTGGATAAGAGCGTCTGCTAAATGACTAAAAAAAAAAAAAAAAAAAATGTAGGCTCAATGACCAATCAAGTCATTAAAGAAAACCAGGCTAATGCTACATGGAGCTGATAGAGGCACAGCTCAGGCATAAACTATACCATAAACTAAACCATAAACTATACTATAAACTATAGTATAAACTATACCCACTCTCAGAGAGAAAGCAACACAAATAAAGAGCTGAGAGAGAGAGAACCAGATCAGAATAGAGATAGAAAGAAGTGATAAAGGGATGGAGTGAATCATTTGATGGTGGGATCAGTGTATCGGCTCTGATCGAGTTCAGTAAAGTGATTATCATTGCGGTCAGTCAGATAATTGTTGTGATTGTGTTGAAGCTGAGCAGGACTGTGAAGCTGCCTGTAAATTGGTCTGCTGCAAGGATACCAAACAGATATAGCACCACTCTGAAAGCTGGGTATTACCATGGTAACCACTTCACAGTGGTTAAACTAGACACAGTCATTCTCCTTACAATAATAGGTGACAACCTCTCTTTTTCTTAATGTTGTGTACTATGTACCTTCACAGTTGTTTCAACCCCTCTCTACGAGATCTATTTTGTTTTTCTCTTAGGGCGGTAAAGGAAACTCCTACTCTCCCACCATCTCTTTATGTGCCTCTACACTCAATCTTTCTCTATCCACTCCC